GGACGGAGCGTTGTTCCCACAGGACCGATCACCGATGGCCAATCGTTCTTTGCTACTTGACCAAAGGGAGGGCAAAACGGGGGGGGGAGGGGTCCCGACTACACATGAGAACCAACCGAACATTAACATTTATCACCCACATCACTACTGTGTAGAGAGGGTTCGGAACATCCCGCCACTACCGCTGTTTAGGACAACTCGGGGATTGTCTGTCTGCGCTCTAGTTGTAGACCTCAGCGTTTGTTTTTCGTGGGGGATCTCTCGGGCACCTAGAGAGCACTGAGTACTGCACGCGCCCACATCGCTACAGAAACTGAGTGACGATTTTCAGCCTCTTGAAATATTTCGCAATGTAAGAACTTTACCATTTCGCAATGCAAGAACTTGAGCATGAGAACGAAGGTGCTCAAGTCAAGAAGATCGCACACTACAACCTAGTACGTATAGTCGATGGTGGGATTTCGATTACCCCCACGAAGAGAGTACAAGAAACGAGCGTCGGTAAGGGCCCTCTTTGATCACGAGTGCAGGCGCTTTCTGTACCTGTGTGGTGTGCTCGTGTGCCCGAACCACGCCGTGGCTGGTGACATACTTTCACGTTTTCTGTGTCGTTGTTTGCTGCGCCTTTCTCTGATTCGTGCGGCACGTCGGCGGAGACAGCATACACGCTTTGCTTGGCCGCGTCTAGTCTCTCCCCCGTAGAATGAATACTTCGTAGCAATCACAGCAACGGCCCGTTCTAAACAACAGCGTAGCCAAAGGGAGACAAGTGTAAGCCTTTGTAGCGGTGATTGTTGAGAAAAATCTGCTGGATAACGGGCTTAATTTGAGTCTGTCAAACCCTTTTCAAAGTACCACCGTTTTGCGCCGCTTTCACTTCGCGCTTTCTCTGTCTGTCGCTGTCGTTTCCACTCACCTCGCCACGATCTACCCGACCCTACCCACCAACTCGGGGGCCCCCGCACACTGCAACAGGAAAAAGCGGAGCCGGTCTCGCGAGCGGCGGAGCAGCAGGCGCAGCCGCAGCCGCGAGCGCGACCGCCACGAAAGGAGGAGCCACCGCGACAGGGATAGGGACAGGTGCGCACTCGCGCTCTCCTTTTGATGTATAGAACGCGCCCGCAGTCAAGAAGCTCGCTATACAGAAGTTTCGGCCGAGGCTGGGGTTCTTAAATGCTATAGAAGTATAGGGTTATGCTAGAAGAGGTCGCTACTATTCTAGTTTCGACCGAGGCTGGGGTTCTTAGTTCCTATAATAGGGTGGGTTATGCTAGGAAAGGTCGCTATAACTCTAGTTTTGGTCGAGGCTGGGGTTGTTGCCGTATTCCTGGGGTCATGCTACGAACGGTGTCTGTAAGGTTGTAGTGTAGGGGTTCTTAGCCGAGCTCACAAATGGTGTTCGAGTTCTTCAATTTTTTATTTTATTTGTTAGGCTCAGTATTGACTTGCAAGTTCTAAGGCGCTGGCACGTTCTGTTGTAGAGCTGATCATCGTGTATACACCGCACCATCGTCTAGCTGTAGTATGGTAGAGTCCGCGCTAGTATAGCAGGACCGACGGAATTATGAGGACAATTTACAGCCAAATGAACGACGGCAGACGGCCTGGGACCCCGACAGTTTAAAAAAGCGTTTTGTAGTGTGTGAAAACGAGAGAAACATGGAAAGTGCTCTGTTGGCCTGTGACCATGGAAGGTTTAGGTTTCCGCGCCGTTGGGTCTTGGTCTCGTTTTTGGGATTTTACGGACTGGACTGTTGGCGTAGGTGTCGGCTCCCACATGTGCCCTGCCGGGAACCAAGGGCTAAAAAAATACATCAAACAAGCTGAATTGCATAAAACACCCCCCATGTACTTCAAGCAAGCTGAACTGAAAACAACACCCCCATTACGTTTGTTGTCGTCGTCGGTGAACAGGGATAGGAGCGGGAGGGACAGGGACAGCAAGAAGGACAGGAAGGACAAGGACAAAGACAAGGACAAAGACAAGGACAAAGACAGGTTCGTCGTCGTCATGGCTGTTGCCGTCGGTGGGAACGGTCGGATTACCTTTTTTTAATATGTGTTACAAGTACTGCCTGCGCGAAGAAACCAAGCGTACATCTATTTCATAGATTTGTTGGGGAATCTGTTGTATTTGAGCCGATGCTTGTCCGTGTTGTAGGGCAGCAGTTAGCGCCCGCAATTTGAATGTCAACTTTGAAGTCTAGACCATCACAGGCAGGCATGTGCCGGCATCTATGAGTAGAAGAGGTTACGTAGACCCTAACCGTAGACCCGAAATTCCACCGATGCCATGCTTCATCAGGTACGTTTTTTAATGAAGTACAAACCTAATAAAGTACAAACCTCCGTACTGCTGTAGGCCGGAGCACCATCGAGAGCGTAGGTTCGGGCTCTGAAACCTCGCCGCTGGACTGTTTTAACTATACAAAATTGTCATGGAATCTGCGGGGAAAAGCTCGGGGTACAGGATTCTACTCATCAAATGTGTGCCGTAGTCGTTAGACCATTGACCTCGCATCCCTACAATTGCCGGGACGGAGCGATATGCCGTGTTTTCACCGGCCCAGGCTATACGGTTCACAGTGATGATGCAGAAGCTGCTAGTGCCATGTTCCTTGCCTTTGCTGTGCTAAACCAGATGAGGCTCGTTCTCTTACCCTCTCTCCGCTCGCCGCTCTTGGAGCAAGAAAGAAAGAAGTAACGCCTCATCCCTCGGGAAAGCAAGGCGTGCCTCTGGTGCCCCCCTCCACCCCTCACCCCCAACACTGACCCCCACGTCCCTTATTTTTTTGTCCGCATGTTCGGGCTGTTTTTTTTTGTGCGTGCTGCCTGGGGGGCGCGCAGGAGCGAGCGCAAGCGGCGCCACTACACGGAAGCTCCGGCAACCGAAGAAGGAAGCAACGACAAGGAAAAGGCCGCGAAGAGCGATGCCGACGACAAGAAGGAGGAACAGAAGAAGGACGAGGACGGTTGTTGCGCTAAGCCGTCGTGCCCCGGCGGCGGGGGCACCGCGGAAGACAAGGACAACGGCGACGGGGTTGGGGGAGAACAGAACAGTGCCGGAGAGGAGGCCAACGGCGGCGGCGGCGGCGGCGGCATCGATCTCGTGCCGGCCGCGGACAGCGACGGCGATGAAGATGACAAGAAGGAGGAAGGGGCCGGAGGTGAGGAGAGAGACGGTGGTGAAGGTGGCAGCACCGCGAACGGGGGTTCCGAGTCTCCGAAGAAAGAGGACGGGGATGCCTCCGCCGCCGCCGCGGCGGGAGAGGGGGGCGACGACGAGTAGGGGGGGCACGTAGCATGTTGGTTTTTCAGGGACCCACGGGGCCCCCAGCGAGAATGCCTCCGGCGGGAGAAGGGGACGGCGGGCTGAGCATGGTTTTTCAACGCCACGCGTGGCCTTTCTGGCAGGGGGAGAAGGGTGGGGGGGCGGGGGGTGTACTCATAGTCGTGCATGCCGTAGTCGTTAGACCATTGACCTCGCATCCCTACAAAGCCGGGACGGAGCACGCCGGGCTCTCACCGGACCAGGCTCTGGGTGGGGGGGGGGGGTCGCATGTTTTTCGGCGTCGACGCGGGAGACCGAAGTTCGCTGTATGGCGCGAAGAATGTGTCGAGCAATGCGGGAGCGGTAAGTGTTCTGGTTGGTGGGTTGGTCGTTTCGGAAGGGGGATTGTGGTGAAAGTTGAGACTTAAGTACTCCTCCCTGTCAAGGTCCCCAGGGGGGGGGGGTGGGAGGAGGGGGTACACAAGGTGAGGTGGAGCACGCGGCAGTCAAGTGCTATTCGTAGCCGTTGGTGCGGTCTGGGCCGTGTGGTGTGTTGACCATCTCGGTGCTTACGGGAGTTGTCATGCACGGCAGGAAAGGTTGTTATGTTTTTTGGGGGATGGGGGACTAGAGTAATGGTATGCTAGTGTGGGGGAGAGTATCGAGAACATGGGGAACGGAGAGAGAGGTGTGCACCTCTTGGCACACGTCGATGCAACGTAACACGCACAATTGTCTATCCGGTGTAGGGAGAGCGTTTTTTGCTCTTCTCTCTCCGCCCGTAAGTTTCAGCTGTGTTACATATTGTTCTTGCCGTGCATGGGCGTGGTCTCCAAAACCAGGCCAATTGCTTTGCTAGGTACCGGACGTTCGGGGCGTTTCGGGCGCTCTCTCTTTCTTTGATTTCGTCGGTCCTTCAGCTTGGCACTGACTGCTGTCTGCTGTTGTTGGAGGAGGAAATTGATGGGTGTAAAGTCGGTACGTACAAATGTAGTAGATATATTTCTGCTGTAAGAGGATCGACGGAAGGAAGGTTGATTGTTTTTCATGTCTTTTTTTTTTTTTCTTCGAATGTTGTGACTCAAAGTATCAAAGTATGCATACCAAGTATCGGTAGAATACAAACAAACGCAACGATAATTCCATGAATAGAGGCGGTGTTGATGGGTAAGATTAATAGTGCAAGAGGTGGGTAATGGTACGTACGGCAGATACTAGTATGCATGCATATGCATGTATGCATACCACGTGGGGAGGCATTGCTGTACATGTATGCCCTGCTGTTGGAAGGACTCGCGGCCGTATGATGAGTGTCCATTCACTCCTCCTACACACATGTAGCCTTTCGCATGGAGGATCGCCTCCCATTGGCGCCATCAATCGCAGCCTTGTTTGACGACGGCGGTGGCAGTAGACTAGGTGGTGTTCTTTCGGGAATTATTTTGGATTCGAAAACGGCGATTACTGCTGAAAAAAATATTCTGCGAATACAAGCTCCATCAACAATTTGCGCTCGACGTGCGAGTGATTTCACACATCTCTTCTCGATTTCGAGAATGCTTTTCAGCACTCACCAGTAACTTAGTATATTCTATGTTATAGAGAGTAATGCGTTGCGCAAGACGATTGATCGATTGGTTTCTTTCCCGGACATTTGCAAGCAATCAGCAGAGGGGCAATCTCGCCCGCAACAGGCATGTGCTTGTCAACAGACCTGAAATAAGGCACTTTTGGCTTGTGGACAGCCCGACGAACGCGTTTTTTTTTTTTGTTCTACATATGTATGTATGCATATCCCATGTATTTATTCCGCGACCCGGGCTATTTCTCATGGCGAATATGTTCTTCAACACCGTCCGCGTGCCTGCCGTGATAATTGCTTGTTGTGTGCCCTGCACACCTTGCCCGAATAAAACAGTCGCGAAGCGGTTCCTCCGAACCTCCCTTTCACAGACATATCAAAACCAAACCGTCACCGACACGCAAACTCGGTACGTATATCAGCAGCCTCTTGGACACTTTTTTTTAGGAGAGCGGAGAAACTTCGACAAGCTGCGAGAGGGCAAAGAGAACAAAAACGGTTCGGCTAGATACGAAATATCTTATCTGCTTCTTTTCCCAATAGTTGTTTCGTTTGGGTAGACAGAACGCCGTGAGCTCATCGCCCTTCCTTGCGCCGCCCGCACCAATCACTCCTCTCCCTCTCACACAGTTCTTACCAGCCACAAACCACTTCGGCAGAAGAAGACCTACTGACTGCGTGCACCAGAGCAACGCCGTTTCCAGCCCTTTTCCCCCGGCCGTTTATCCAGGTGATAGGAGTGTTCGATAGGTTTTCTTTGCGAAGACACACAACAACAAGTTGCGGCTGACGGTACTCATTTATTTCCTTAGGAGTCAAAACATCATCATCCATCGTCCACAGATGTGCATCCGTGTCCAACAGCAGCACAGTGCATCGACGCACCTGAACGGCTATCCGCGCGAACACGACCCCTACCCCTCTTGCTTGTCGGTCTCCCTTTCTCTCCGAACTATCTACGCTTACCAGACACGCCCGAAACAGCTCCTTGCGTAAGTAATCACACGACCAAACGGGCGGCATCATCATCATGTTCCTGGGGCGTGCATCTTCGAGAGCTCTGGCGCGCAGCGCCTCCGCCGCCAGGCGCCGTCCACGCACAGCCCTCCCGAGACCGTCGTTGAGCGTCCAGCAGCATCCGCGCTCTACTGCGGCGGCCGTCGCCACCGCTCGCGAAGATCGGTCGAGCGGCGAAGTTAGCAGCGGCAGCTACATGTGGGCCGCTGCCGCGGCCGTTGCTGCTTTGGGCCTAGCTTCAACGTCCGACCAGCAGGTGAGATGCACACCGCCGCCGCCCGCCACGGCGCACACACGCGGCTGTGTTTAAGAGGAGGAGGAGAGAACGCATAGTCCTCTCGCCCAGCTGTCATTGCGCGTTTGTGTTCCGACGGATTTTGATAATTGCTCATCCGGGCAATTTAATCAATCAAGAGGGAGAGTTGTGTAGGCAGCGACATTAGATGCCACTGACGGATTGGCTGGCTGGCTGCCTCATCATGGATTCGATTCGATCAGCACTGCTGCTGCTGGAATGGAGAACAGACCGACCATACCGGCCGTCGCGCACCCTCCTTCTGCTACGTTACTCCGCGCCAAGACTCTACCTGTGCATTCGTTGATGGATATACTATCCGCTCGGTGTGCATGTCGTTTCACACACACACGCCCTAGACCCAGCCACCAACCAGCAGACAACAGTCAATTTTTTTTGTTGGAGATACAAGGAGTTAAAGATCGAAAGCGTGTGCGTGTAGCCAGTACTCGGAACACGTCGACATGTAGACTATTCGAATTCTGAAGATCGCCAAGAAAGCCGCCGCACTTCGTCGGCAGCAGCGTTGTGCGTTGTAGCACATCGCATCGCAGCTCGCTTGTGTTGCTGGATTAAATTCCGGCGGGCGGGGTCGGGGGCACCTGTAGGAAGGCGGCCGATCTTATACATACGTCAATCCTACGTAGTCAGCATCCCTCACGGCAGCCGACCAGCAGCTGTCGAAGCGTGCATGCATCTTGTTGATATATTGAGGTTGTGGCAAGGGTGAACGCGCTCCGGCCGGTCACCCCTGCGGTGGAGAACAGCCTCGATGGGCGGTACACAACTATGTTATTTGTTTGGGTGTCTTGTTGATTGCAATGGGATACTCCTGTATCATCGCAATATTGTTGTGCCATCCACAGGACGGACTTCCAGGCCCTGTTCCAAGGTTGAGGTGTATAGGAGGTGTACAATTGTACCATGTCGGAATGAATGCAAAATTTTCGAAAGCTCAAAAATTGCCGGAAAAAAACACACACTCCGGTCTGCCACACCGTCTGCGGTCTGTTGTGGTTATACACACGACCGACCCTGTTCGGGGTGTCGTAGGTGATTGCAGCTCTTAGACTAACTCAGAGGGGAAATTGTCGAGGAAAATAAATGCATTCCGTTGGTCTTCTTTTATGCACCCACGGATCAGGCGCTGTCGCGTTCTTTTTCTCAAAAGTACACGACGATTGCTTGTGACAGAATACAAGCATTTTTTCAGAATTTCAACGCGTCATCACCGCGGGCAAACCACGTCGTCCTAAATGCACACATAGTCTAATTTACAGCAGTAGCCTGCATCGGCTGCGTAAGATATCACACCCACTGGGCCGATTCTCAAAGCTTGATTACTCGGCAAGGAAAGAGAGAGGTGATGGTGCCGAAAATGTCGGAGTTGGAACCGTCCGTCCCGTCGAGAGCTTTCCGAACACGTATCGTTTTTGCCTTTTCGGCATCCTCATCCTCTCGGTCGTTGAGTAATAATCGAGCTTGTTTGAAAGTCGGTCCAGGGGGTGGGTGGGTGTGGTATCTCGTGCAATCTACGGTATGCATACCCCATCTGTTGATGCAGAAAACGACACCAACACCTGTCTGTTGAGGCTGTAATGGGGGCGAAGCAATAGTAATAGCACTGACACGCAAACAAAGTATAATAGTAGTACTCGATCATGTGAGGTCTGTCAGTCAGGTGTTCTTCTTTCCACATCATCACTGTACATGTGTTTTTATTATTGTACTTTTTTTACGTTACGTATACCGAAGGTATTCAAATGAAACCTTGCCATCATTGGGTTGCACGGGTGGATGCTACCGGCACGCTCTCGCCATCCATTTTAACCACTCGGATCCGTATGGTCTAACCCTTTTTCCCTTCCCTTCCTCCCCTCATGAATCCACGACATATCACATACTACACGACGACGGACGCGTCGGTCAGCAGGCCGAATGCTGCGGCATCATGGGGGTGGTAAGCACCGAGCACGCCACTGGCAATGACCCGGCCAGCGACGCGAGGGCGCTACTCCTAGAGGTGAGAGGCTGCTGTCCTCCTCTCTGTTTTGTCAACGTTTACAGCAGTATAGTGGTGTTGATCGTGCAGGCTAACGTACGTCGAGTTCCCAAGTACCCCCTTGAAAGCACCTCGGCACGACATACTGCGGTGCCCCGTTGGTCTTGCCGCCGGTGCTCGCTGACTCCATTCGTTGTTGACCACATGTAGGGACATGCATGTCCTTGGAGTGTTTCCTGCTCGCCGAAAGTTGATGACGATGTAACATCGCTGGCTTCTTCGTGTCCGTTCGTTGGCGGTGGCATGGTGGCATGTGGGCATGATTGTTGCTGCGTACCGTGCGAAATAACAATGAAAGGGGCTCGCTGTTCTACGCAACCGCGGGTACGACTCCGCCGGCATGGCCACCTCGTCGCCGGATGGCCTCATGATCTCCAAGTACGCCTCAAGGGGTGAGTGACGGACGGCAATAGTTGATGTGTCTTTTGTGGATGGACGATACGAAGAATCAGCCTTTACTTGCCGCGGTACATAGGTATACCTATCCGCATTGATTGCTATTTCACGAACCCTTCCGTACAGCAATACAAAAGCTCGTGCTGGCCCTTCTTGAATTAATGTCTGCTTTGTTTTGGTGACCTCCCCCCCACACACACACACACCGTTATGGCCTCCTACCACCTCGAAGCTAAGCACGTTGCATCGTGCCTGTCTCACGATCTCAGACAGCAGTGCTGTGTTACCAATTGACCATGATTGGACCGTGGGTTCGTCGGGCCTATGCCACACCATCACGATCACAACCAACCAACCGTGTTTGTATATATGCATACACGCATACACGGCCGGGCCGGGGCAGAGGGTTTTTGTGTTGTTGATTACGTTTGCGTTTGCCTTCCTCGAATACCCCCCCTTGGCTTCTTTCGTCTACCTCCCTTAACCCAACACGCTGCTCCCGCCTTTCTCCATCATCTGCCGTGATGCTGCCTGCCACCGACACGCCCCCCCCCCCCCCCCCCCCCCCCCCCCCCCCCCCCCCCCCCCCCCCCCCCCCCCCCCCCC